AAACTATAGTACTTGGGACTTGGATGGAAAGGATCTTTGTACAATTTCAAAATGGTGAATGAAAAGGAGGACACTGGACAATTTTATTCTGCACTTCCCTGAGTAATCAGGACATTGGTTGTCTTGGAGGATACCTGAAAACCAAGAGAACGATTTTAGACTTTCATATCCAATGGTACAACAAATTGTTGGAAAACTCAAGGAAACTGAAGTAGAAGTAGAGATAACAGAACACCACAGGTCAAAAAGATGGAAAGCAAGAGGAAAAGAAAATAAAGCAATGACTAACTACTTCCCCAAAGAACTAGATCTATACCTGTTAGGAAATCAGGTAAGGTCTGAAGAACTACAAAATTAGTTATCTAAATTATGGTGAATTTAGTCAAAGAAGTAGAAGAGCTAATTTTAAAAGGATGCAAAAGCAGACACAGAGATAGTAACAAAGGACAGCAAGAGTTATCCATTACTAGAACAGAGTGATTGAAGGAGCATGAGCAGGAAAAAGGAGAGCCATTGACATGAAACAAAATAAGATGGGTCAACACAAGTTGAAAAAAGAACCAAAAAATAAGTGCCACTCTGCATTGATGCTGTGACCAGGATCAGAAATAATGACACATTGCCGAAAACCTAAACAACCAGCTTGCCTCAAATTTAAGTATGAGCAACTAGGGAGAAGTACAACCAAGCACATCCCCTCACTCCTGCCCTGCAGGAGAGTATGATCACAACTGAGAACTGAACACAGTTTGCTATGCACAAAGTACAGAACTTGCAAAGGTTTACCTTAAAAGACTCAGAACTGGAATGAAATTGCATATTTCCTTAAGAATTTCCAATAATTCTAGAGGGTCAGGAACAGTAGCTCATGTAGTGAAGTGTATCTACACAACCACAGAACTCCCAAGTTTGATTCCAATTGTGTGCAGCCTTTAGATAAATGGAACTAAACAATAATTATGGAAATACAGCAAATAAAAAATGGACCAATATAGTTTAACCTTAGTAAAATTTCAGACTGAGATGTCTTTCTTTCTTGTACGTTTCTCTGCAGCACCGCCACCTAAATAATCTCAACACTTTATGAGGGCCCTGACAGTTTAGGGACAAAATATAAAGCTAACACTCCTTGCAGTCTGAAGAGTTAAAAGGACAGACTAAGTAGAAGCCGTCCTTTGATATAGCAGTGCCCATGACAAAAAACCTTTAACTTTAATCCCCATCAGTTTTCCTCTGATTAACAGATCAAGGAGATGAAACTATTTAGCAATCCAGAAAGGTGAGCACTGTACACCATTCATTAACCAGAAAAATACAGACATAATTGAATAAAGGAGCAGCTTGAGGAAAGACAGGGAAGAAGTATGGGTTGGGATAATAGCTCAAGTTTTTTTTTTACAACACTTCAACAAACAATAAAAGCCTTGAATAAATAGTTTCATAAGCTAATTTAAATAAAACACAGCATTCTAACCAGTTGCCCACAGTCTGCAACAGTCCAAAATAATATTGACACAGTATTTTACAAAGACCATTTTCACTACTAATCTTTTAATGCCGCTATTCAACCTGTTCTCTTTCTGACAACATTCTTTACACCGTGTTTTCAACAGCTGCTAATCAATGCATATATTCCATCCACATATATGTAAGTACATTTTTTCATTGAAATATTTTTTCTCAGCACAGTTAAAAGGAAGACTTAATTATATCCATGTTTCCTAAAGCAAAGGCATATAGACACTGTGGGTGGTTCTTGAAACTCTTCCCTCCCCTCTTCTTGTGGTGGTCCCTAAGAATCTGGCAGCAGGAACAGCTCACTGTATGGCTACAAATGCTGAGTCTGAAAATCATATATTCCCTGAGTTCCCACGGCAAAGAGCTCAGTTAGGGATGTCACCAAAGCCAAGCTACCACCACAATTACCATGAAGCTTCCAGTTGAATGAAAAGTCATTGGAAAAGAGAAAACCATAGAAGAGAAAAAAAGAAAAAGAAATTCAACAGATGGAGAAAAACAGAAAGAAAGAAGCTCACATTGATTGCGTTGCACTGACAAAAAGATGCAGCTAATGTCACCAGGGAATTAAGTCACTAAAGAGGAAGGTTGAAAACAGTTTGGAAAATTATCTAAATGACTTTTGAAAAGAAGAGTAAAAACCATATCTGGTTAAAGACGTAAGAGATTCTGGAGAAGTAATTTGTTTTCTATCTTGATGAGATGCTACTTTTCCCCCCCTTTGTTCAGAAACATGAAGTAGATCTAAACTTTGGTAACAATGAAAAAAGTCTTAAAATACAAATGTGAAAAAGAGTTTTCTGTCATTTTCTAATATACCTTTGATAATGTATTCTGGTTCGTTACAACATTATTTTAATGCCTTGACCAGAATAAATAAAAAATGTAGATTAAGACAAAATGTGTACGTTTACAAGAACAAAAATTAGAAGATACAAAAAAGGTCCAAAGAGGACAATTTGTAATGTCAGACCACAAGCTATTTTTTCTTCAGAAATTAGTTTATCAAGAGTTTCCTGTAGAAAGAGACTAAATCACCATAATTATACATATCGAAGTCAAAGAGATATTATGGTCAGAAGTATAAATTTTTTGGAGGGAAGGACAGAAGAAGAGCAATGAGAGGCCTAACCTTCACTTCAGAGTGTGCTTGTGTCTTGTCATTCTGCCTGTGCAAGCTGCCCTTCTTCCCATCTGCTGAGTCAATTTGTTTCTCCAAATCCCTGCTCCAAATCACTAGGCCAACAGGATTTCTACTCCCCATTCTTTCACAGATGCCTTGCACAATCTCACCGTATGTTCCACAAGCAATACACTTCTTTTTCTCCCTCATACTTTTATCATCTCCTATCCCACTTACTCTGGCCAGGTGTTCACATTTATTATTTCAGGTTTTGGCTTTTGCCCCAATCTCTTTCATCCTGCCACGTTGTTTATAGTCACTCTTCCCATCACATTTAACGACTCCCAGATCTGTCATTTTCTTCCAAATTACTTGTTCAGTCAGTCTGTCTCCCCTTCCACTGACTGTGTATCAGTCTACCCCCATATCTCCTCAAGAGCTCACAGCATTTTCTGCATTTAGCTCAGCTTTCCTTCTGTTAGGCACCCAAAGAGGAACAACTGAACAATGCTACAACACAAAGTTGCATTACAGGAGAAAATCAGCTGAATTCTAGATAGCTCCCACTCATGTGAGGGATTAAATTATTAAACTCTAAGTTTGTAAGTTGCTTGGTAGAAACTTAAGGATCAAAACTAGGTGAAAATTAAGCAGACGTATACAGGAACAGACAAGTCCATTCCAATACAAGGAAACCTGCAGAATTTCAAACTGCTCCTCCTGAGTATAAGAATAGTCCCCATTTTAGTTTCTTTTCTTTCAAATAATCACCATTTTTATCTCTGTTGTGTGAACAATGTGGGGTTTTTTTTGCCTTAAACAAAAATGAAGCAAGCAATTAGCACACAGTATTTCTGTTCTGCTCTTAAAGGTTGGTGTCGATATGTGAAAAGAAGGTCTACTGATAGGGAGCATTGTCCCTGGTACCCAGAATTGCATTACATTCACACACAGGAACTAGCACATTCACCACCTACCTGTAGCTTTGGTAAATCCACGTACAAATTATCATCCACTATGTACTGGAATAATTTGTGCATAAATGCTTTTTTAGTTTCTCTCATTTAATTTGTGCTCCCAACTGCCTTCCAAGATAAAATGCACCCACTAGTATCTGTAGGATACTGACAGTTAAGGACTTATAGATGGGTAAACTTGCTTGTGCTAACATTCAGGTATCTATTTGTACCTTCCTTCCTCTTTTTGACGGTTAGTTGTACCTAAAAAATGCTCCAAAATTTGTAGTAGCTTTATGAGAAACAGACACATGGCTCGCAACAATCTACATATTTCTTACCTTTTGTTATTTTTGGAACCTGTTCCTATGTGTTAACAAGTATTAATCAGGAGTCAAAAAATAACTTGAGATTTCAGTCAATTTCTAAGGTCACGATACTTAGAGAAATCCATGACGACTGTTTGATTTTGAATTACACAATGTCTGTGTACAACAAAATCTGATTTCAAATTTAGTGCTTCACTGTCAAAAGATGCTGATATTGTCCCAGTAAATTCTGTGTCAAGACCTTCTCCAGAATATCAGGCATTTTTCAAAAGAAATTCTGATTTACTGACTGGAAAAAAAGTTACTCATTTACAAGAACTGGTGAGACAACAGCGATACAAGATGAAAAACCTTTCATATTAAATATTTTTGATCTTAATTTGCAGAGTACCTCTACTTTTTAGGTGGGATAAATGTAAAAATTATCAGAGTTCTACTAGTTGTAAATTTTGAACCTAAAATAACATCCAGAAATGCCTATTTTCTGAGTAAGTGCTACTATATGAAATCATATAATGCTACATGAACTAATTGGTATCTTATCACACAATACTACTTAGCAATCATACATAAACTATTATATATTTGTAACAATCCCTTTCTGGTACATTTTAAAAGCTTGGACTTCAACAGAGAAAAAATTCTGAAAACATCTTCAATTTCGGTCAATTTCAGAGTTTTACATATGAAAAGACTTTCAATGCAAAATTAAAGGTAACTTAAAAGTTAAAGGTAAAATTAAAGGTAACTTAAAACAAAAAGAATTTGTTTTAAAAGTGCAAAATGACATGTGAATGTTTTTATTAAGAATAACATGATGGCAAAGGAGTACATGAATTTTAAAACAAACTTCCAGATATTAATTTTTTCAGGAGAGGCTAAGGACTCAATCTTATCCTCTTCAAACAGTGCAGGTAATGCAGGGCACACTAAAGAGCCAGGAAGGTGTGAAATCTGAAGCTCTGGTACTGAGAATTAGTTCTACCTCCAAAACACCCATATCAAAAAAACCCAAGACACAATAAATCAACAGAAAAAAATTATCTTAGTGAACAAAAGTTATTTCTGCAGTACCTTCAGGGACGATAGCACCAGGACACACATCTTTGAGCAGGTCTCCCAAAGTATGCAACTCTCCTCCCGATGCAATGGGCCGAAATAGCTTCTGTATAAAAGGTCTCTCTGTTGTTGCCTGTTTGAATAACAAAATTACAAAACAAGCAATTTAAGGGCCGTGCACATATGTAGTGTTATCATTTGAAACGGGCAGAAGACAGGACAGAACAAAAGGCTGAAGCAGAAGAAATGTCAGGTATTTCCACATTCCCCCCATGGCCTCACATGTCATTCTCATCATGGTATACAGGGGAGTTTTTGTTTATTAGCAATTGCAATTAAGTTGGCACCCCAGGAAAACCATGAAGATAATTTCTAGACAATGCCATGGATATATGAGTGTTAAATATTTATTTATATTTTACTGTTATGGGAATATGATCTGTTCGAACAAAACATTTTAATATATTCTTAATGTAAGTAAATCAAGCAGTGAGCACAAACTTAGGAGTTAAACACATACCTATATGTTTTTCCGAGTCAAAGCAATACTGTAATAATTGCTCTGTTTTGGGCCCCTCAATTAAAAAAGGACATTGAGGCACTGGAGTGAGTCCAGCCAAGGGCAACGAGGCTCAGAAAAGGTTTAGAACACATGTCCTGTGAGGAAGGGCTGAGGGAGTTGGGTTTGTTTAGCCTTGAGAAGAGGCAGCTCAGGGGTGACCTCATGGCTCTCTGCAACTCCCTGACAGGGGTTGGAGAGAGGTGTGGGATGGTCTCTCCTGCCATGGCTGCAGGGAGAGGACTAGAGGGAATGGTCATAAGCTGAGACAGGGGAGAGTCAGATCAGATGTTAGGAGAAATATTTTCCCTGTTAGGGTGTTCAGGCACTGGAATATTGCCCAGGGAGGTGGTGGAGTCACCATCCCTGGAAGTGTTGACTGGATCTGACACTGAAGGATATGGTTTAGGGGTTCCAGCAGAGTGACAGGTTAATGGTTGGACTCTATGATCTTAGAGGTCTCCTCCAACCTTGATGATTCTATGAAATATCCAGTATCTTCTCCAATAGTCTACCTTCCTCCTTTTAGAAGCACATTAAGCACTTTGAGTGGTAAACAAGTAACCCTACAGCTCAGGACAGGTGAATTTTTTTTCCAGCAGATTTTATGTTGAAAAATTAAAACTATTTCAGCTTCAAGAAAGAGTACAATGTAAAAAAACCCAAAGTTAGCATTGCGCTTCGATAGACAACCTAGAGTGTTCTACCTGCTTAAGGGATTAGTCGTGTAAAGAACACGTATGTCCCACTTGTGCTGCAGATACACAAAAGAATTCAGAATGATTTCACCTCTGGGTCCTTCAGCTTAAAACCATTCCCCCTTGTCCTGTCACCACATGTCCTGTAACAAGTCCCAAATGCAGCTGACGTGCCCTCTACTATGAGTGATTTTGGCTCCAGTAAATTCCACTTTCATCACATACTAACTTCATTGGACAAAGCAATACAAGCCACTGCACCCTTCAAATGTAATTTCTTACCTCTCAGAAAGTGGTTCCTGTCCTACTATGGCAATTAAAAACCAGCAACAACTCAACATCAAGAAATCAACCACACAAACAAACAAACCCACACCAAAACAAAAAATCAAAACAAATCAAGCATAGCAAAAAATATGAAAGTCAAAAATTATTTTTGAAAGGAAGTTATGGTGTGATCTCTGCCACCTACCTACATGAAAAGCCACAGCAGCAGATTAAACGTGACAATGTAACTGTCATTTCACCTCTCTGAAACAGCTGGGCAAGGAATCCTTTCCTAGGAGTGGTGCACACTATCTCAAAGTAATTCCAGGGCAGTAGTGAAGAATTGTTGACACACAGCTACTTGTTACTTCTTGCCAAGAGTCTCCAAAAATGGAAAAATAGCCTTTTTCCAGTTTTTCTTACTAAGACTGATCAGAAGGAGCTTACCAGCTGCTGTAGTTAATTCTCTGTATCCTCAGGGTAGCAGAATGTGGATGTAAACAAGGCTAATGGAATATTTGAACATTTGAAAAATGACAGAAGGCACAGAACCAGCAGGATCCACCTAGAGTGATCCACACTTGAGAAGTGAACTCTGGCACATTATATGAAAGAAATGTACATCCAAAACATCAGGAAAAAACAAACAAACCACAGCCTCTCCTAAAACATTGTTATAGTCAAAACAATTTTGTATCAAGTTTAATTAAATAACCAGGTATTCAGAGAATTCTAATCATAGCTCCCAAGTGTTTCCTCTCTGAAGTAGCAGAAGTGGAAATAAACACCAGAAGGATACAGGCAAAGGTGGTTATCATTGATAGATTTTTAAGGTAAGAATTTCCCAAGTGTATACTGCAGTTTCTCATTACTAAGTAATAAATTATAATAAACTTTCCCCAGCTATAACAATTTAATGCCAAGAAGAAAAAGCCGAAGAGGTATTTTTTAAGTCTCCCACATAGCTGCTGAGTGCTGCAAACCAATATCCTCAGCTGCTATCACGAAACAGCACAGAAAATGAATTCAATTTTGTATCTTAAGTGTTAAGCAACACGGATGTGGTAAAGTAAATAAAAATCACTGGTCTTCATCAATGTTAAAATGATAAAAGTAACTGCATGTTGTTTATACAAAAACTAGTTCACAAATCTTAACCTACAGGCAGAGTATTATCCCAACACGCTTAGACTTCTTCCCTCACATGCAGCAGATGCTTTATGCGTTAAAAGAGTCAAAAGAAAACTCCCATCCTACAATCCACAATGTTTACAGGATAATTTTTCAAAGTATCTTAGTAACAGAGGAGCATAAATCATTTTAAAAAATCTTACCAACACCCTCTTTCAAGTGTGGCAGCTACTAATATAACTTGACTACAACTTTCTACTCTAGGATTTCCATCCCTGGAAGTGTTCCCAGCCAGGCTGGATGGGCCTCTGAGAAATCTGGTTTAGTTGAAGATGCCCCTGACTATGACAGGGGGTTGGACTAGATGACCTTTGAAAGGTCCTTTTCAACTCAAACTATTCCGTGACTCTCTTTGCTACGACACATAAAGGAATAACCAACACAAGCAATTGCTTACATAAAGTTGTGTTTTGTACAGTATTTGCTTAATCAATCATGCAAAACAGCAATACCCATTCTAACCCACAGAGACATCACTGCATACCTGCTGATAATGATTTTAAATAACCCACATCAGACCTAAAGCATGTATTCACACAGTAACCATAGTTTTTTCCTATTAAAAATTATCTTCAACAGAATGCAGTGATTTTCAAAACATTGTCTTTTACAGTCTAGCCTCCATGTAGCTGTGAGCTGCTCCAAAGATTCTGGATCCATTTGCAGGATATGACAGGTCAAAGTCAATCAGTCCTTGCCAACATCTACAAAGGAATTACCTCTGAGTATGTGAGCACATGAACACAATCACCTGATCTGAAAATTGCAGTGCATGTTACACAGATCATATCCACAGCTTAGTATCAAATCATAAAATTTATAGAGAAGCAAATCTTCATCTCTAAGTTAACATACTTTCTAGGAAGTTGGACTTACTGCAGATGCAGTTTCTCACTATTCCGTATACCACACAGCCCCACAAATCTCCTGCTCCGCAGAACAGATGAAGACTTGACTCTTTTTTAAAAAGAAAGTTTAAATGATAACAGTGATAGGAAACTGACAGTGAAAACAAAATCACAGTACAGTAAGAAAAAAAAAGATTAAAATTGTGTCTTCAGGTATACTGGCACTGAGAAGAGTTACAGGTGAGGGCAAGTTTTAAGAGGCCCTTTAAAGCAGTGTAAAGCCTCACAGGATCAGAGAGAAGCTATATAGTTACAAACTGTGCCCACAACTGTAATTCTTTTTCTTCCCTATCTTCCTGACAAAGAGAGAGTTGTCAGCTTGCCTGGTCCTTTTCAGAATCAACAGAACATCAAACACTGCATGAAATCCACAATTTAATTAGCCAGATATTTTATACAGGATGCATCTTAAAATGAAAAACATAACACATGGACTGCTGGGTTTTAGTCTGGAAAAGTCACAGATACCAATATTTCCATCTAGAGTAAGGGATTTGGTATTTTGCCTAAACACTCGGCTGCTGCACAGTATTCAGACAAAAAAAGAAGTTACCATACACATTGAATCCACAAAGTAAAAAAAGAATTTCTTACAATTCCCACATGTGCCTAAGCTGGCAGCTTAAAACTGTAAAACTCAAGGCTTCTCTACACACTCCATCATATTTTCAGTAACTTGTCAAGTTCATAGTCTGTGCTGTTTTGTAATGAACCACTTTACACTAAAAAAAACTCTCTTAATTTCATAGAATCATTTCTTTTAAACTGATTTCAACTCAACCAAGAAGCTTTAAAAGTAATAATAAGACTCTGTGTAACAATGCAAGTTATTTTATATTAGAAAAAAATTAACAGGAAAATTACCCACTGGAAATAAAATGATGCCATTTTTATTCAATATTTGCTCAAAAATGCATGTTTCCTATGTTTTAGATGTCTTTTACTTTGTTTTCAATTAAAATCTCAATGCACAATGTAGAAGTGACTAACTGAAAAGATGATGAATTGCTGTAGTCACAGACGCAGCACAATACTCTGCCTGTCTGAGAGCAAGATATTGCAAACCCCCATTTGAAATACTGCTCTTTCACTGGTGCCGAAAGGCTGTTTTCTGCTGGTATTTTTGGGTGGGTATCTGCCTTCTTTTTGCTTAATATTAGACCAGAATCACTGAGTACTTAACTGTGGAGAAGGCACAAGCAATGCTTCTGGGTAGGAGTTGATGCCCTTTGTTGGGATTTTTGGGTTTGTTTTTGCTGCTTATTTTAAAAAGCTTTTTAAAATAAACTTCTTCTCTTTTGGAAAGGTGATTTTTCAGCTCAACAAGCTAAAGTACATGCATAAAAAAAGGAAATGATCTTGTTTTATCCGTCTGAAATCTGTCACCTTTCAAATGTTATCAGTATTGTTTGAGCTTCTATTACAAGAGGTATAAAACCTGACAACGTGATATGCCTTTATCCTGTAATCATTGCTCCTCTCCTCTCCCTCAAATCTTCCAAGTAACAGA